GTTGAATCATGTCATCTGGACTTCGTTTTTTTGTTAAAAAGAAACAAAAAAACGAAGTCCAGATGACATGATTCAAACTTTTTTGTTGTTATATACCTGGATGACTGAGAAAACAAACTTTGAGATATAAAAATATGTTTTATAAGGTTTTAAGTTGCCTTTATATCTATTCAAACATATATTATCTTTATGTTACTTATAATCATCAGAACACTCTTTGATGGTTAGCAGAGGGACGGAGGGGTGCAGTGTATCCTCTCTAGGAATGCTTTAATAAGCATTAGGAGTGCTTTTGACCGTAGAAGCTTTGGCCCGCTTTGCGGTCACGGCGCTCCTTACTGGAAGGACATGTTTTTATGAGCCATCGCTCTGTTGCACAGACTGCTTTGATGATGGAAAACATGTTTTAATTAGATCTGTCCTCCTGACAACCATCAAACTTGTTTTTCACTGCTCTCACGCGATCCGGTCAGGGAGAGGTATATAAGAGGTGTGACAGGCAAGGGAACTCTGAAGTCTTGCTGTGGACTAACGCGTGAGTGCCCAGCTGTTGATGTGATTCCTTTACCCGGGTCGAAGGCTTCCCGATCACGTGTCACGGTGAGAGGCTCTCATATCAATTTGTGTGTGTAAAGAGTGTACAAGTGTACATGTTTGCTTGGCTGTTTTCTGTGGCAGATTAATAAATGACACTATTATTCTAGCAGTAACAGTCTACTTGTGTTTCATTTTTTCCTCTTGTCTGAATATCTGGTGCCGACCCCTGTTAAACTAATTTCATAATATAACATGACACACAATTGGCTGATTGATGGATGAGCTTCACTATCAGCATGGAATTTTTATTTAAAATAAATTATTTAAAATTATTTAACATTTGCTGCACCTTTGTGTTCAGCCTGATGAAGAAAGATCATCAGAGACTCTACTTCCTCAGACGGCTGAGACGAGCTGGTCTAGAAGCTCAGTCCTCACCTCCTTATGTCACTCCTTATATCCACATTATAAACAGCAGTATGGCTACAGGTGTAGATCCTGACACTTTTAAACATGCAGTGGTAACTCCTTCAATAAAAAAACCTGGACTTGACCCTTCAACCTGCTCAAACTTCAGACCCATCTCCAAACTTCCCTTTCTTTCTAAGATCCTGGAGAAAATAGTTTTCACTCAATTAAACGAGTTCTTGGGTGGAAATTCTATTCCTGAGATCTTTCAGTCTGGCTTTAAGAAACTACACAGCACCGAAACAGCCTTAGTTAGGGTCTGCAACGACATTCTTCTGGCAAATGACTCTGGTCAGTCTGTAGTCCTGGTACTCCTTGACCTTACCGCTGCATTTGATACTGTGGACCACAGTATCCTTTTATCCCGACTAGAACACTGGGCTGGGATTACTGGTGCAGCATTAGAATGGTTCCATTCATACCTGAGCGACAGGAGTTTCTGTGTTAATTTTGCTAACACTATCTACTTCAGTGCCTCTTTCCTGTGGGGTCCCGCAAGGCTTCATTCTTGGACCCCTTCTGTTTTCTTTGTATCCACTCCCCTTAGGGTCTATCCTGAGGAAACATGGTCTTTCCTTTCATTGTTATGCTGATGACTCTCAGATTTATCTGCCATTAACACCTAACAGTTCCTCCTCCATTCGCCCTTTGTTAAAATGGGCCTCGGGCCTTGAGATCATCAGACCGGCTGCTTTTGGTCATACCTAAAACCAGCTGAAGCTCAGAGGAGATCGGGCGTTTTCAGTCATGGGCCCTAAACTCTGGAATAATCTGCCCATCAACATTCGACAGGCCACCTCAGTGTCTATTTTTAAATCTCTCCTCAAAACACATCTGTACTCACTGACACATCTGTACTCACTGGTATTTAACAGTGTGATCTCATTTGGTATTTCATTGTTGATGATTGTGTTCATCCATTTTGCTTTTACTCCCTGACATTTAACGCAGGGTGATTTGATTAGTACTTCATTGTTTCTCATTATATTTAATGTTTTTATGCTTTTATTCATGTTGCTGTAATATGTTGTTATTAATATTTGATGCTTTGATCTTTTTTGGTAAGCACTTTGATAACAGTTACTGTTTTAAATGTGCTATATGAATAAATGTGACTTGACTCCTTCTACAGGTGTGCAGTGGAGAGCATCCTGTGCTCCAGCATCAACGTGTGGCATGGAGGCTGCACAGCTGCAGAAAGAAAAGCTTTGCAGAGAGTGGTGAAGGCTGCACAGAAGATGTTGGAGTCAGTCTCCCCACCATCACAGACATCTACACCTCCAGATGCAGGAAGAGGGCCACCTGCATCACGAAGGACCACACTCACCCAGCACACACACATTTTGCCCCACTCCCCTCAGGAAGGAGGTTAAGGAGCATTAAGTGTAGAACCACTAGACTGAGGAACAGCTTCTACCCTGAGACTGTTAGACTCATGAATCTCTAACTAGAATAATCACTGTGAAAAACCATATCATGTTGCTGCTGATCTGTTTCATGTTGCTGCTGATCTGTTTCATGTTGCTGCTGATCTGTTTCAATGTTGATGTGTTCATGCGTGCACATCTGCTCACAGACTCATGTTCATGTTTGTGCTGATGTTCAATGTTTTATGTTATGAGTGCTTAGTGTATATTTAGTTGATGTTTTTCTTAGTTCATATCTTAGATGTTATTACTGTTTTTCTTATACATTTTATTGTTGGGTGTAACTGGGACCCTGTGTACATAATTTCGCTCCACCACATGTACCACATGAGGTGGAATGACAATAAAGAAACTCTGACTCTGTAAACCTAAACAAGGTAAACAGGATGTTTAGAAAAGACTTTAAATGTATCGTAGATGTTTAAGTTGGTTTATGTTTGCTGTGCAGCTAATAAATAAAGATAGAACCATAACGAAAAATCTATATTAAAGTTTTTACGGATTTAAATTTATTTCAAAAGCTGCCAAGAATCTAGTTCTGCTCCGAGCAGAACTCGTTAGCATCGTCAGATTAGCTGTCCTGCTAAGCTAACAAAGCTCGGTGTAACTTTTAGCTTTAAGCTTCATTTTCTGTGCACGAACTGAGCATAGACGTGTTTTTATTTCCCTGCTGGTTCATCCAGACAGGTTCAGAGCTACGTACCGACTCTGAGCAGCTTCAGCTCAGGTTTCCAGCTGACATCCAGCAGTCTGCGCTGACGGTCGAGCTCTTCTTCGTACCGCAGGATCGTCTTCTCAAACTCGGAGAAGATTTCTGAGGCAGCAGCGCTCAGTCTTTCACCGATGAACTCTCTCAGAAGATGAACCGAAGACATTCTGACTGAAATTGATCAGATAGAAAATAGAAACAACCAGAGCACCGGAAACAACCGACTGAAGGTGGTAAACGCCTTTTCATTCAAAGGCGGCTGGAAAACATGGCGGCGGCGCTTTGTCGCCACCAGGCGGTGAGGAGTACAACTGCAGCTGCAAACTGTTATTCAGATTATTTAGAGGTTAAACATAACATTATGTGCAAACGTTATGAGTGGTTTAATAATTTAAAATCGAAAAAGGAAGAATTTAATATATAATGAAAAGCATTCTTAAGAAGTGAGGTCTCTGATGATTAAAAACTGATTCCTTTCATTGTAATTAATGTGGCTTTAATTAATCATTTAAACAAAACGGTTTAAATATGACTCGTTTTTGTAAAGCCTTTGATTTTTAGTTTTTTTAAACATGAGACCCCAGTTTAGAAACCATTTTTAAAATTTAGTTGTTTACCTTTTGTCTGCTGCTGTGTTCATTTTTTATTTCATTTCAACAGCTCCAGTGCATCACCTGGTTGATTATATATCGTTACTGCATGTATTCATTCATTCATTCATTCATTCATTCATTCATTCATTCATTCATTCATTCATTCATTCATTTATTCATTCATTCAACCTTTATTTAAACAGACAAGTCACATTGAGCCTCAAAGACTCATTTACAAGTGAGACCTGTTTATGTACGTCATATGTTGCCTGTTTTACACACCTGAGATTCACATTATCGGTGCTTTAGACAAAATACTTTTGACTTTACTCAATCTAGTCACAAATAAAAATGTTGGTCTTTTGCCACTTGGAGGCATGAATAGTTCAAATAATATTTAAAACTACGTTTTGTTCTGGTTGCAGCCAAATTTCACGTTTGTTTTTTAGACTGAAACATGGCTGAGCTTCCCCCGCAGCTCCAGCGGGTGGAGTTCAGTCTTAAACATTGTTTAAACTGAAAAGAGGCGCAGCTCTGCTTCCGTCGAGGTTTCACAAGGAATCAGAATATTTCTCTCAGTCTGTGGGTGAAGAAACAGTGTAGACGTATCTCTGATTTCATTTTGTGTTTGTTGTCTGTCCCACTTCTTTAAAAACAGAAAAAGTAAGTAAAATAAAAGACATGAAGAACTGAGGCAGATGATGCAGAAATGAAACGTTAAAGCCAAACTCAGCCTTCAGACCTCAGCTTCTCCTCAGGTTTGAGAGGATGAATATTTCATGTCTCCTCCCTCGCCCCCACGGCGGTGCAGCAGTTGGTTTGTGGAGGGAGGGGGGTGTTTGTTTTACCTGCTCCCCACCTGACTGAGTGGATGCTCGGTTCAGAAGAACGATGAAGAAGCTGCGGTTCATTTGTTCCCGCAGAACAAACAATGTTTGATTTTAAATGATGACATGGACACTGAACAAAACGTAACAGAATGCAACGATTTGGAATCTCATACACTTTTTTTTTTTTTAATTCACAGATTAAATGTATGAAATCTTTAAACTGAGAAATGGTTCTGTTTTTAAATGTAATATTTAACCTTGTGCTGCCATGTTGTTTTTAGACAAATTCTCCTGCAGCCCTTCCAAACAAGCCATGACCTTTGACCTTTGGGAAGCTAACTGTGGCCTGTAGAGCATGAAGCTCATTTCTCTGAGTGCTGCACGGTCTGACCTTCAGGGTGACTTTTTGCCACTCCTGTGGAGATTGTCAGCTGTCTCAAATGTTGTTCTCCATTGATCCGTTTGATTTTTTTGACTCCAGATAGTTTGAAAATGACCTTTGACCCTTCCCAGATTGACGCGCAGTAACAGTTGCCCCCCTGAGTTCATTGCTGATGCCTTTCTGCTCTGGCATTGTTTTAAACCACAGACCATAGATGGTCCCTGATGATCCTGTGGAAGCAGCGAAACGTTTAACATTTTGCTTTTGCTTTTATGAACTAAGTTTCATGAGTTGTTCTCCGTCTGAGGAAGGATCCATGTAGTTACTGGATCCATGTGATCCGTTTGTTATCATCATTATTCTCTGTCCTTCGGTGAAGCCAGACGTGTCTCCCTGCACCCCCCCCCCCCCCCGCTTGCTCTCTTTCGTCCTGTGAACTCTTAAAAAGCCTCTTTTTTTTCCTGCATAACTCCTAATTGGAAGGATCAGCTGGTCTCTCAACAAAATTGATCAACTTCTCCCGACAAGAGTCAGGGTCAGGAGGACCCTCTGACCTCGACGGAAACAAATTGGATTCATGATGACGACTGTTTTTTTCTGTTTGGTTGGTGAAATCTGGATTGTCTATAAATTTGTGTGGATGTGTCGAAGCTCGACAGCACTCAGACTGGATTTGTGGAGTTGCGTCAGAGCTGGAGCAGCTGGTATCAGGACTGTGTTCTCCCTGGCAGCACTCATGAATGGTGGAATAATCTGGAGAAGCTTTGAGCTCAACTTTTGGCGTAAAGGATCAATTTGGCTGTTTTGGAGTTTCCATCAGAGAAAATGTACCAGCGAGACTTTAAAAAGGCAGAAACAACAATCCACGAGTTCTGCCTGACCCAAACTGTGGCCTTGATGCCGGACTTATCTCAACTCCTCCTGGAATGTTCAGAAAACAACAAAGATGCTTTGACTGTTTCCTCCCCCCTCCCTCCCCCATGGACATGTGACAGAACCTCAACTGGGCTGAAGATGAACGTCACCTCTTATCTGGACAATGGCTGAGGGGGGGCTCTGGACTACGCTACAACTTTCCCTTAAAATTAAATATCTTCACGGCCTGTATGTTCATGTATAACGTCTGTTTATGTTGCTTTGCTGTGGGAGGTTTGTTTGATGCCTCAAATCGTGCCCTGTCCAGGACACGGAGTGAGAGATCTTTTTTTTATACCGTCTCTCCTCATGTTTTCTTTCCTTTTCTCATCGAAGCAAAATATTATTCTGAATAAGAATAAGAGGGCCGCGCTTTTTATAGCAGCAGCTTCGTGCACTCCGTCCAACGTTCAGACGACTGTACGTACATGTTCTTGTTGTATCTCGGTGCAGTGACAATAAAGTTTATACTGATTCTGATTAATCTGTCGACCTCATTAAATCCAGTTAATGGAATAACTGATGGCAGATTACTAACGACACCGAGAGCCGTCTGCCTCTGAGCGCAGCTCCTAATGAATCTCCTCCACGTGATTTCAGGGAGTCTTCATCTGAACGGGGGGAGGCATCGAGCTGCACCTCCACCCCCGAGTGGCTCCAGGCGCTCCGCAGACAGACAGGAAGTCAGCACGTGGCCCCGCCGCCTCCTCTGGGTTTGCTGTTGTCGGATGGAGAGGTAATTGGGAGGAGAGGCAGAGGTGGATCCACAACTTAACCTGAGCGAGGCGATAATGAGCTCCGGCTGCTGGGGCGCCTCGCCTGCGGGCCGGCAGGAAGCTCATCAGGCCATCACTCACACTATTTATGCCTCTTTACACAGAAATAGATCCTGCCTGAGAATCAGTCGCTGATGTGTTCGAGAAGAGCTGATGGATGACAGCTTAAATTAAACCCACATGACTGGAGGTGGTGGAGGATTCCTCAGACTGTGTGAAGCTCACCCTAAAAGATCTGGATTATTCTGGTCGGCTTAGAGATGAAAGAACGAATGAAGCTCGCGTCAGAGCGGTCAGAGACAGACGTGTCCAGGTCAGAGACAGACGTGTCCAGGTCA